TGATGTAATTTAGATTAACTTAGTTTTAATTTTCTGCACTTTTAGCTTAATCTAGAGAGAGAAACACTATTAGTCTTCATTTTGGTAGAGAGAGAAAGTGTGGATTTCTTCATTGATGAACTTAGATTTTGAAGAAGAATCTTGTTTAATCTTTTGTAGATCTTCAACTTCAATTAATGAGCAATCTCTTACTCTTTCTCTTTACTTTTGCATTTAATTTTGCTTGTTTACTTTGATTTTCCTTCTTTGCTTATTAATCATGTTAATGCTTATTGATTTGATGATTGATATTGTTCTCAACATGATTTGTGAGTAGTCTCTTAGCCAAGGGTGTGGGGATGGTGTAGTTGCTAATTGTTCATGCTTATAATATTGGGATTAAGTTAATTGTGATTAAAATCTTTGCATGCTTGATATTCTTTGATCTTCTTGCAAGTGCACATTGTTAGTTGATTAAAGGTGAATCTTTGCTAACAAGAAACGAAAGTTGACTTAGTTAGAATTCATTACTATCGATTGTTCTTTGATTGCACCTCCCAATATATGGTTCTAGTGTGGAAACATAGAGGCTATGTTAGGAGAAACCGATTAACCCCGGAAGGCAGTTAGATTGAACCTTATATCGATATTCGTGCATGTTTAGTTCACTATTGATTTGCTTTTATGTTATTGCATGATCAAGCGGCATCTACATCTACCCATCTCCCTTGGTGTTTAGTTATATTGATTTTAACTCGTTTTATCTTTAGTTTAATCTCTTAGTCATTCCTATCCTTTGTCCCGAGATAGCTTAAAGTCTATTGATGAATGCGGTGTCTATGTGCTTCTCCCTATGGTTCGACCCCTCTTCTTACCATATACTTGTATTAGGATAAGTCGAGTGTTAAAAATTGTATTTGATTTAGGAGAAGTTGTCTAACGACGCAATTATTCCTTTATCAAGAGCAGACGAAGCTGCCAGTCCAGTGGCTGGACGTTGTTGTATGTCGTCTGACCTCCAAAGAGGGACGACTGCATGAAATAGGGAGGATACTGACCGTAGACCTGAGAAGGTACATACGGTGCAGTCCCAATCATCTGAGGACCAGAATGGACGGTATTACTGCCTGTTTGGCTCTCATGCAAGGAAGGTACATTCCCTGCAGAGGTGTTGTTGAAGCTGTCTCGAAAGTTCGACGTAGAAGCCGACTCAGACAACTGCTTATTTCTCTTGCGGGTGATGATCTCCCGGGCGTCAAGAGTTGATTTTTTGCTTCCCACCGGCTGTTGAGTCCGGCGGGGATTGTTGACATTCCTCTTGGGCAGAAGAATCTTGGACCAATCAATGGTCCCGGCTGCCTTCTCCTTTGGATGAGGAGTTGGCTGCCGATCTCTGACTAACTTCCCCTTCTCAAGAGCAGTCTTTTTTGCCGACTGGCCCCTGCTTGGGCCAGCCTGGCTCTTCGTGATCAGATCTTTAATTTCACCCTTGAAACTTGTCATGAACTTCATGAGTTTGTCTCGTGTGACGGAAGCTGATCTGTTGGCCGTATGGGTTTCCCCTTCGGCTGCCCAGGGGGTCGATTTGTACCCGCCTGGTTGGCACCCCGCTCCAGAGTATCTCTGGGCCGAATGCGCTTGGTTATTAGGGAGCCATCCTCGGCTATATAAGTTTCGACCTGAGGATCTTCATCCTTTTGGTCCGTGAAAACTTCCGGGTCATCGACGGGGCGCATAGGAGGTGGTACAGACTCTTGAACCATCCTTGAGGTACTCTCCCCACAGACGGCGCCAAATGTTTTGGGTGTTTTTGTCCCTCGGAAGAGTTACGTCACAAAGATTGGTCTGGCTGAGTTGTACCTGCAAAACAACGGAGACTCCGGGTGATTGGAGCTCCGCCTCCGAATATCAAGTTAGTAACTTGAAAGAGAATAAAAAGTGCGGAAATTTAGGTGGGGATCTGCTTGGATTCCAAGCTCAAGTGATTCTCTGATGAGAGAGAAAGTAGGTGTAATAAATGATTGAATGTGTCCCCAAAATGAGGAAATATCTCCCTATTTATAGGGTTGTTGGAGAATGTGCCCCTATCTAGGTCACTTGACCTAGATTTTAGTGGGCCGCGCCGTTTTACGGCGCTTCTAGGGATTTGGGCCCTTGAAGGCCGCCATTTCAGAAGCCTATCTGAGGGGGTCACGTGTCAAGAGGATATTGGGCCACTTGAGCCATCCTGAGCTCACCACGTGCCCTTCTCTCATTGGTCCACCTGTCTAGGGTATTTTTACCCTAAACAATAATAGGCATCTACTTTATTCTGATCATATTCATGTGCGCTTTTCTGACTAACATGCAATCATTAGGATTAACCCTAAACAAATAAAAATATTATTGGCGATCACTTGAATTATAATCAAATTAACCCTAAACAAGATTATTAATTATCTTATTAAGCGTGATTACAAGTACCAATTCTTTTTAAACATGCATAAAAGGCATGATCAAGCAATAACAATATAAATCATCAAGCAACATAATAATCAAATTATATATAAGTTAACCGTCAATTAACAAATAACATTAAATAATTTTTAAATTAACAAATTATGTGAAATAATTCGTAAATTAACAAATTACGTGAAACAATACGCTAATTAACAAATTACGTGAAACAATTCGCTAATTAACAAATTACGTTAAACAATTCACTAATTAACAAATTACGTTAAATTATATAATTCGACACAACAATAATCATAATCATAGTAATAATTATAACAATTATAAAAATAATCATGCTAAAGCATAACAATAATAGCAAGATCCTAGACATGATACTAACAAGATTAATAACAAACCCTAACATGTCACTAAACATCAAAAATCAAATATATAGCCCTAACATAATACTAACATGAGTATTAGGAAAGAAAATAGGAAGCATAACAGGAATCATAATAAGCATATTTGATATTATAACTTTACCCTAAACATGATACTAGAAATCATTGTTGTCATTCAAAACATCAAATTAAGGAAAGCATCCTAACATGATACTAGGAATCAAAATAGGAACCTAGACATGATTTCTATATCATAACATCAACAAAACAATTAAAGCACTTACTTGGATGCTTCATATCTCTTTCTAATAACAAAATACACGCGTTAGTAACTTTAAGGAAAATATAAACAATAAATTAAATTAAATGATTGAAAGAGAGATTTGGGACCAAACCCTCAGAAATTAAACCTTTCACATCTAGAGCGAAGACAACTTCGAACTTGGTTAGGTGTGTCTAGATCTTGTGAATGCAGAATTTTGTATGAAAAAAGCTAGTTTAGAAATAGAGAGAGAGTATCAAGAATTTCTTGATGAGAGTTGGTGATTGAAAACGGAGGTTTTTAGGAGGCTATTTATAAAGAAAATCAGCCGGATATGATAAAAAATGAATCAGAGTTTTGAAAAGAATAAAACACGACGCTGTCGCCAAACGACAGGGCTATCGCCAGACGCCAGGTCTGTCACAAGGCGACAAACGTGTCGTATGGCGCTGCAATCAGTTTTCCACGCGTTTTCTTATTTTGATAAAATTTAAGCGTACGAGAGGGAAAAACTGTAATTTCCTTAAAAACACTTCTTTTATTCTAATTAAAACTCTTAAAAGTCAACTTATCAATGATAATTAAATTAGGATTCAAAAGAACCTTCTAGAAGATTCTAGAAGACTATAATCAATCCTAATCGCATTAAGAATGATAAATCAATAATAGGCCCTCCTCTAGATCATTGGGCCGCATATAAATATCAAACCGGGCCCAGTTTAGTAATTTGGCCATAACTTCCTCATTATTCATCGGAATTGGGCTTATAATATAATGTTGGAAAGCTCTTTTCAAAAATGGAGAGAAAGAAAAGAACTAAAAACTAACCGCAACACTAGACTTTCCACACTTTCATTTCATTCGATTATGTTCGACGTGAAAGGTACTCATCACTGGGTTTGGTTTTTGGGAGACACAAATGGGTGTCTACAATGATACAAACCAGTGGAGAATGTAGGTATTTTTTCCATAGTAAGTTTATTACCTTGTGTTACACTCGTGATTTGAAGGAATTCATTATTTCCTTCACTAATTGTCTTAATATGGTATCCATTTTGTCGAATATCTTTAAAACTTAGTAAATTTTTTTGAGACTTAGGGGAGTATAATGCAACAATAATTTCCAATTTTGTTCCCCTTGGCAATAAAACATTTGCTCTTGCGGAGCCTTCTATAATTTTTGTACAGCCTGATATAGTACTCACATTAATTTCTTTCATCATCAACTGCGAAAAATATTTCTTATTCTTAAGTATGGTGTGAGTATTAGCACTATCAACTAGACATAAAATCTTCACCATTGGTTGATGATTGAGCTCCAAAGGAATTCATATTCTAATATAATTAAAGGAATTAAAATAAGATTCACAAAAACAAATAAAATAACTTAAAGTAATAAATGATAATAATGAAATATCCGAAAATATAAAATTATCCAAAAACATAAAATTGTCCAAAACAAATGTCCTATAAAGCATAAAGTCATAGTACTGCAATAAATGCAAGCTAATTAATAGAGTTTTTTTCGTCAATGGATCATAATTTATTCAATTATTTTTTTCTTCAAGATTAGGCAAGAAATCAGTCGCTTCCAAGTGAGTTGTATCACCGTTATCAAAATCACCTTCGCCATCCTCGTACACCAAATTTGTATCCACTTTCTTTCCTTTCTATTTGATTGATAGTTGATAAAGGTCTACTAGATGTTTTGGTGTGCGACACACACGAGACCAATGGCCTTTTCCTCCATAACGATAGCATATATTTTCATGTTTATCCTTCTCATTTTTATTTCCATCTTTGTTGTCCCACTTCTGGTGGGATTATGAGTTCCTAAAATGACCACCTCAACCACGACCATATCCACGTCCGCGGTCGCGACCACGGCCTCGACCACGACTGATGGCATGATCTCTAGCCTTTTACTCTTTCCCACTATGCGATGTCGCATTCGCTTCAGGGAATGGAGTAGAGCCAATTGGGCGTGATTCATGATTTTTCATTAATAGTTCATTATTTTGCTTAGCCATAAGGAGAAAAGATATCAATTCAGAATATTTTTTAAAACCCTTTTCACGGTATTGTGTCTGCACGACAACATTGTTTGCATGAAAAGTAGAGTATGTTTTTTCTAACATTTCTGAATCCTTGATTTTCTTTCCACATAATTTCAATTGTGACGTAATTCTAAACATGGCTGAGTTGTATTCACTCACAGACTTAAAGTCTTGTAATCTTAAATGTAACAAATCATAATGAGCTTTTGGTAATATCACAGTTTTCTGGTGGTCATACCTTTCCTTACTTTAGAATACTCAAAAGAACTTGTGGGTCTTTAACAGTCAAGTACTCAGTCTTAAGGCCTTCATGAAGGTGATGGCGAAGGAATATCATAGCTTTAGCTTTATCTTGGCTTGTTGCAGTGTTGTTTTCTTTAATAGTATCACCAAGTCCCTTTGCATTTAAATGTATTTCAACATCTAACACCCAAGACAAGTAGTTGTTTCCACTAATATCAAGAGCAACAAATTCGAGTTTTGCAAGGTTTGACATGATTCACTTTTAAGATTTTTAACAACTGATTGTCGTATAAGGTTAAACCTTCGTCTTTTTTTTTTCTTTTTTTTAGCTAGAGCTGGTGCCAATAACGTGTTAAATATGGAAGAAAAAATATAGAGAGATTAGGGAAAATTGTTACTCCCTCCGTTTTAAATACTTGCTTCACTTTCCATTTGCGGCCGTTTTTAAATACTTGCTCCATTTCCTTATTTGGAAAGCTTTTACAATATTTAATTTATTTCTTTCACCTAGTGGACCCAATATATATTCTCTCTCTTCCAATTCTCTCAACTACTTTTACTTTCTATAATCTTTTATTTTTCTACCAACCCCACTACCTCCATATTTTATTACTTTCTCCAATTTCTCCTAAAACTCCGCGCATGGAGAAATGAAACAAGTACTTAAAAATGGAGGGAGTACGTTGTTATTTCTTATTCCATGTAATGCGACTGTACGAGATACATATACATGTACCTAGGGTTCCATTATTGGATAAGACCAAATACCCAACTTTAGAATATTCTAGATAGTACATAGGATAATAGTCATCCACATTTAGATATTTCATAACACTTTGAGTTTTATTTTACAATAAAGCTTTTAAAAGTTTTTTTTTTTTTTTTTTTTTTTTTTTTTTTTTGCAAAATGGTGCATTTAAAGGATTTTTTTTCGTCAAATAAAAAAAAGTTTTTTTTTTATAAATTTTCCAAATAAAAATTATTCGTGTCTTTTGATATTGCAAACGCTAGTAAGAATCATCCGAGTTTCGTAGAGAGAGAAAACTGGAAACCGACGATCTCTAGAGAGAGAAAACCAAGAATTGAGGATGAAGATCACGGCAATTGTGGTTCTGAAATGCGGGTCTAGCAAAGAAAACCCGATAATCTTAGCAAATGCATCTGATGTCAGTACATTCGGATTCTTCCAGAGATCCAGCGTTCGTGAATTCATCGTCTTCGTCTCTCGTACCGTTGCCAAACGCACCCTTCCTGGCCAACGTCAATCTGTTCAACATGAAGGTTTCTTTTTGTTCTTTTATTGATGATAATTGTTTCCGAAATCCAGTTTTTTTAATTGAGTTTGTTATAATTGATCTTGTTGATTCTCTGTTTTTGTGAGCAATTATGGATAGTTGAGCTTGGTGGGTTTAGGATTATTCGATTTTGGGTTGATTGAAATGTTTGTGCCTTGATTAAATGGATTTGGAATTGAATTTCAACGATTAGTACAGCAAAGTTGTTTGATCATTAGTTTTTTTAGGATCAGCTCTAATGTTCAAATAATATGCTTAAAATTAAATTGCTCATTGAAATTTTCGGTGAGTATTGCCGGTTAAGGACTGATGCTATGCTTCCGGCCATCGCTTCTGGGCATGAGATGCTTGAGTGTCTTGAATTGGGGCCTGATTTTTGTGATAGAAACAGCAGCGATGCGATCCGGGCAGTTGCCATTTGCTGCCCGAGGTTGAGGAGGCTCAGGTTATCTGGGGTAAGAGAAATTGACTCTGACTCTATCAACGCCCTTGCTAAAAATTGTGTCAATTTGTGTGATATTGGGTTTATGGATTGAAAGTTGATGAATCTGCTTTCGGTAATATGGGTCACTTAGATTTTTATCTGTTGCTGGGACATTAATTTGAACTGGGGTTTGAAGTCTCATTTGGAGTAAGTTGCCTAATTTAGTTGGGTTGGATGTTTGATATTATTCCTACCGCGGTTTCGAGGATGATGTTGTCTTGTCAGAGTTTGAAGGTGCTGTGCACTTAATTGTACAAATGTTGAGGAAGATGCTAACTTTGTCACAAGCAGTCATGGGAGTAAAGGTAAGTTGTTGTTGTCCCTGCTCAGTGATATATTCAAAGAAGTAGGTTCGTTATTCGTCGATGATTCAATGAAAGGGTGGAATGTGTTTTTGGATTGGAGGGATACTGAGAGTAAAGATCAGAAATTGGATGACATTATGAATTGGCTCAAATGGGTTCTTTTGTTTTCACTTTTGCGAATTGATGAGTGTAATCCTCCTGGTTTGGATAACTTTTGGGTCAGTCATGGTGCTACATTGCTGCTCAGTTTGATGCAGAGTTCACAGGAGGATATTCAGGAAAGGGAAGCTACTGGGCTTGCTACAAGTGTGGTTATTGATGATGAAAAACTAGCATTGATGGACAAAGAGCAGAAGCAGTTATGCAGGGTGGGGGTGTGCAACTTTACAGTGCTGTGTTTCAAAGACTATTTCATCGCCATCAGAAAGATGGTATAGGAGAAAGGTGACCAGAAAGAACGTCAAGCGAGTGGTGATATTCTCTCAATACTTCAGGGTCATCAACCCTTGGGCTCGATACCGCTTCACTTATTGGATGTTGACCTCTAAGTTACACCTTTTAAATGTACCATAATTTGTGTTTGTTGCTTTGGTTGATTAGTGTTCTAGCTAAAGAGTAATTTGATTGATGAAATATGTTGATTGATTGAAAATTCATACAGAGCTTACCTTGTTTCAGCTATAATAGGAATGTCAAATACTACGTATATGTATAATTATGATCAGGATTGCTATTAGGGTTTGATATCACTATGCTTATGAATTCAGCGGTTGGCAGTTGCCCTATGAATGAGTCCTACAAGTGTCGTTACTTGAGTCTGCTGTTTTGGTTGAGTAATTTAGCTAAAAAGAAAGTGTTATTGAAGGATAATGCTAATAGTTGAATATTCACATCTTTTTCTTGTTTAGCTTTAGGGCATGCTTGTATTGAGGGAAATGTATTACTAGGGTAATAAAAGTCAAATTAAGCAAAATGAAAGTAAATAGGGAAGGAGGAGATAGTAATGGTGTGCTTGTAAGAAAATTTATTTTGTGATGGTGGGGTATGCTCATTTTGGGGGTGATAGTTACACACCCTAGGGGAAGGGTGTGTAACTATCACCCTCATTATGAAGGTAATAATAATAATTCCTCCATCTCTCACTTTTACTCATGAATTAACTACCTTATGTCATTTTTTTTTTGACAAGAACTACCTTGTGTCATTTGTAAACACCATACCCTCTACAACAACACCTCTATTTACTTATGTTTTTTCAAGTTTGACTTTTATTACCCCCTTTATATATTACCCCCAATTTAAGCATGCCCTTGATGGGATTGTCAGATTTATGTTCAACATTAGCTTTTATTTAATTTTTTCTTCTTTTGTGTGTGTGTGAGAGATTTACTTTTATTATTGGTTCTGAACCTCATTTGTTTTTTTTTTTCTTCTTTTGATCAGAATACAAGGTGCATGCTTACAATAGAGGGGGCCTTTGTGCATTGGGTTTTATGGATGACCCCTACCCAGTCCGGAGTGCATTTTCATTGCTAACCCAGGTACTTTGGCCGGTTACATGTATAGTTGTTTTCTGATGGCATAGACAATAAGCCTCTGCTGGTACCTCATGTGCTTATATATTCACACAAGTGCATAATGGTGCTAAATTTACAATTTGAACATAATTGTGTCTTTACTCAGCAAGTATTGTCTGTGAAATTGATCTAACAGTAGGTGACACAGGAACATGTGTAACATAGTATTGTCTTCAGACCAACAATTGCTTTATATTAGGTGAAGATGAAATTAAACTGGAATTGTTATTTGAATGAGCTATTGATGAAATGGAAGGGTAAAACTTTGTGGACTTTTTTTGGCATTAAGATCCATTTTAATTGGGGGCCTTGTTGGTTTCTTGTTTGTTGAAATGAAGATGCCCATAGAAGCTTGGTTGACATGACAATCAGGCAGATACAATTAGTGATCTGCCCACTTTTCTAATACTTTCCTGATTGTCAGAAGAGGGATTGAGGGAGATGGGGGGGGGGGGGGGGGGGGGGAGGGGGGAGGGGGGAAGAGGGGCACGAATTAGTGTCATCGAATTGCATCTATTTTTGACATTTTATGAAGTAATTTACTAATCTGTAGATCAAAGGGTTCAAATGGTAAAAACTTGTATTTTGTCTTTTATAGATAAAATTTAGAATGTAAGGCTTTGTTGAAATGTTTGGGTGTGTCTGTGTACAGTTACTTCACGTTTCCTGCTGTCCTCTCCTATGATTCCTAACCGCACTTGTCGGTCTTTATCTGCAACTGTGCTAGCTGGTAGTATCTTTATCTGCAACTGTGCTAGCTGGTAGTATCTTTATCTGCGACTGTGCTAGCTGGTAGTATCTCCTAACTCACACACACACGCACACGCACACGCACACACACACACACACACACACAAACACAAACACACATCCCCACGCGTACATGCACACCCACACCCACACACACACACATGAGACTGTCTTCTAGATTATCTTACACTTTAATCTCTCTCTCTCTTTTTTTTTTTTTTTTTTTTTTTTTTTTTTTTTTTTTTTTTTTTTTTTTTTGGTGTGTGTGTGCTTACTAGTTTCTTCTTTCCTCATTTGCTCTCTATTGTTTTTCCCATTTCATTGATAATGTTTATCCTTTCTTTACCTCCCAATCACTCTTATAAAATAGACTTAAGAATTCATGTTGTATGCTTTATTGTAATTGTAATTTTGAGTATCGTATCTCCAAGCCAGTTTACTAGTATTACATTGGGTATGGGTTTGCAATTCAGTTAGTGGTTCATGGAGGGTGGGGGTTCATTAGGTAACATTATATCCCCTTGAAATACTTATAATTTTGTTTTATATTTTACGAATCTTTTGGTGAGTTAAGACGACGTATGAACTAAGTTAAATACTTGTTCTTCATTGTAATGTAGCAATGCCCACATTAGTATTCCCCCTTCTTGCAGATCTTGGAATACGGATCCTATGTTATTTATTGCCTATTTACAACAATCTAGTTTTAGTTTAAGATAATTTGACCTGCAAATTTTCAACTGGTATTGTTAGTGACACTATTACATTCTAATGCATGCTTTGCCCCCCCCCCCCCCCCCCCCCCCCCCCCCCCCCGCAGATCTTGGAATACGGATCCTATG